GGAGAGGCAATCAATTCACACATCCCGTGTGTGGAGGGGAAGTGGAGGGTCAGGTGACCGTCTCCCGAGGGCTCCCTCTCCTGGGCTGTGCACAGTATGACAAGGAGCTAAGAGACGCCACCTCTCCGCAAAACACCTTCCCAGCACCTCGCTTTCCTCCCCCTTGAGTTCAAATGGAACAATGGAACTGGCTGAGTAAAGTACGCCCTTCTAAAATAGCAAATTATCTTTTTTTAATAGAAAATATCCGTTATTAGGTTTAATTTTGTTCTGTCTTTAGTTGATGTGAGTTGCTTTGACAATGCAGATTTTTTCTTTTCTCTTTTTTTTTGCTGAGGAAGATTCTCCCTGCACTAACATCTGTGCCAATCTTCCTCTATGTTTTGTATGTGTGTCACCGCCACAGCGTGGCCGCCAACAAGTGGTGTAGGTCCATGCCCAGAAAATGAACCCAGGCTGCTGAAGTGGAGCACACTGAACTTAACCAGTAGGCCATGGGGCTGGCCCCCAACCATGCTGATTTTTTAAGACTTCATTGCACCTTGATAGTGTTTTAAAATCAGATTTATCTGATTGAGGTATGGTTTACATACAATAAAATTCGCTAACTTTAATAGTACAATTTGATGGGTGGGTTTTTTTTTTTTTTTTTTTGCTGAGGAAGATTCACCCTGAACTAACATCCACAGCCAATCTTCCTCTTTTTGTGTGTGTGAGCACTCCACCACAGCATGGGCACTGACAGACGAGTGGTGTGGGTCCACACCTGGGAACTGAACCCCGGGCAGCCTAAGCGGAATGTGCGGAACTTAATCACTAGGCCATCGGGGCTGGCCCTCAGTGAGTTTAGACAAATATATACACTCATATAACCACCACCAGAGTCAAGATATAAAAGCCCTCCATCATCCCGCAAAGTTCTCTTGTGACCCTTTGCAGGGACCCCTCTCCACCTACCCCCAGCACTGGCGACCACTGATCTGCTTTCTGTCACTATATTTTTGCCTTTTCTAGAATTTCATATAAATAGAATCATACAGTCTGTTGAATTTTGTGTCTGGCTTTCTTTTCTTAGCATAGTGGTTTTGAGACCCCTCCACGGTGCTGCATTTGGCAGTAGTTCATTTTTCTTTATTGCAGAGGAGCGCACCACTGTGGGGGTATGCCTAACTGGTTTAACATTCTACTGGTGGACGTTCCGCTCTATTAAAGATATTTCCCCAGCTATTTTGGAATACAAGTCAAACATCTATTTGAACAAGAAAGGGAGAAATTGAAGATATTAGTGTAAATAATCATGTTTTGGCAGAGCAAACACATTAGCCTCTAACCCAAAGTTGCAAGCAAATGTGTTGCCCTCGGTGGCATTACAGGTAAATCAAATTGTATGTGGCTTTGACGTCATTAGCAGCTTACTCCAAAATAAGACTTTCAAATGGCATCTGAAATTGGCAAATTAAGCTAGAAATATAATATGGTAATAAAAATGAGACATTCTGATTTTCTAAGATATTGTTATTTAAGATGAATTATAACGCCAAGATTTTGGGAGAGATCCCTAATCCCAAATCCCCTGGTCTCTTGTTCTTACTAAGAAAAAACACTGTATGAGATATATTTATTTCTAAGATGAAACAGAATGTAATTTAATGGATCAGTTTAAAAGAAGTGTTTTGCCTGATTGATATCTCCCACACTGTGTCTGGAAGACTCATAAATAAAAGATTCAAAAAGTATAAGGGATGTAGAAGAGAAAAGTTTTAACATCTGATTTTAAATTGGCAAAAGTTATGCAAGGCAGACATAATACAGTTAACTTCAAACTGTAATGACAGTCTTTATGACGATCAACATTAAACGCAACACAGAAAAGGTAACTTTCCTTATGTGTTCGCCACCCGCCAGGCACGACTGTAAGTATTTTAGGTGTATCAACTCATCTAAGCTTCACAATGATCTTAGAAACTTTATAAGCTTAATAATTATTATTATTCCCATTTACAGACGAGAGAACAGAGAGGCTCAGAAACTTGCCCAAGCTCACACAGCAGAGCCACGATTCAAATTTAGCCTCCTGGCTTCCTAGGCTGTGCGCACAGCCTCTGTGCCATCACTGCTTCTCAGTAAGCCTTTATAGGAATTGTTCCTGCATGGCAACGAGCTGCTTTAATTGTAATGGAAAAAAGGGGGGGCGGGCAGGAGTACGATAAAAAGAAGGAAAACGGTCACCCAGAATCCCATTTATCTATTTTTCCGGTGACTTTTCTCTGTGTGTATGCATGTATGCATACACCAACAGAGATGAATACAGGTGTGTATCAAACGACATGGTCAGAGAATTCTGTCCAAAGGACAAAAAAAAAAAAGTCACCCGGAATCCCACTTTTATACCCCCTTAAGACTGCATTGAAAACGATAACTTAGTGAATAACCTGGGGAAAACAGCATGAGGATGGGATAATCACTGCAAAGTGAGTTGCAGGGGGCTAAAGTTGTCAGTGAATGATAGGCCGAATATTGACCTCAGAGGATTAACCTAAACTCTTCACCGATTCTCCAGTGGGCGCTGAGTAAGTTGAAAGCAAGGCTGCAGGGTAGTAGAGCTAGGTGCTCATCAACTCAAATCTCTCTCTTTGCCCTTGTCACATGCAGGCATCTACACAGCAATGCACTATTCCAGATTGTCGTCATGTATTTCTTTTACCTCTTTTCCTCCTTCCAGGAAGACTATATATATAAATGTTAGAGGTGGGGGAAGAAAGGAGGGAAAGAGGGAGGAAGAGAGGAAGAGAGAAAGAGAGAGGGAGAGAGAGGAAAGGAGGGAGGGAGGCTTTCTTAGTTCCCAAAGCTTTGTTCCTACGTAATTCTTCCATATAAAAATATGAGGATGATAATAACAATAATAATAATAATAAAATGATGATAAAGAAAACTATTTCTGTAAAGCATATTATATTCTCAATGCCTTGCAATTTTTTGAGAACAAACACACAGTTTGCAAATGATGAAAGCAGTATGATTCTCATTTCAAAGCCTGTGCATCTAAACGGGCAGCTTTTACCCTGTTCTCATCAAAGGCCGCTGCTGCGAATGCAATCCATTTTGTGTACATCAAAATAGACGTTTGACTCACAGGGTTTAAAGGCTGGAAGAGACTTGTGACATTATCTTGTCCTGTGGCTGCCAATCCTGGCTGTGCATTAGAATCCTCCACAGTTCGGATCCTTAGGCCTCAACCTTAGGGTGTTCTGGATAACGCCTGTGGGATGGATCTGGGCATCTAAGTTTTTAACAGCAACCCAGGTATGATACTGTGATTTATAAGACATATATATTTGGTCTTCATTGCTGTTCCTGCACAGAGCTCCTAAAACTTATACGTGATAAGAGCTACGAAGATGTCTTTTGTTATTCACAAGCCCCTTTCAACCACATCTGAATTTATGTTAATAAGTGACTTTTGGAACGCCCTTAAGAATGGGGGCTGGTTGTCAGGGGAACCAGCCATGTGATTAGAGTGTTGGCCCTGTCAGCCCCACTCCCGAACCTCTGGGGAGGCGACAGGGGTTGGAGATTGAGTTCAATCACCAATGGCCACTGATTTAATCAATTATGCCTGTGTAATGAAGCCTCCATAAAACTCCCTAAAGTACAGGGTTCAGATTTAGGGTTGATGACCACGTGGAGGTGCTGGGAGGGTGGCATGCCCAGAGAGGGGATGGAAGCTCTACCATTCCAGGGTGCCCACCCTGCCCCACACCTTGCCCTGTGCATCTCTTCCATTTGGCTGTTGCTGAGTTGTATCCTTTTATAATAAACTGGTCATCTAATAAGTAAACTGTTTCCTGAGTTCTGTGAGCCATTCTAGCAAAGGATTGAACCTGAGGTGGGGGTCATGGGAACCTCTGATTTGTAGCCAAGTAGGACAGAAGTCGTGGGTAACCTGGGGACCCACCACTAGCGACCGGCATCTGATGTGGGGGCCAGACTTGTGGGCCTGAACTCTTAAACTGTGAGACCTGATGCTGACTCAAGGAAGACAGTATCAGAGTGGAATTGAATTGTAGGACACTCAGCTGGTCTTCCAGAATTGCTTGATGTGGGGAAAAAACCCACACATCTGGTGTCAGAAGTGGTGTGAGTAGTAGTGTCAAGAGGGGAAACGGAGGGGAGCTTTTTCCTTACACAAGGAAATTCTAAAACCTATGTTGTTCAAGAGATAAAATGAGGTCCAGAAACTTACATGTAAATGACAGCAACCATAACCATAATATAATAATGATAGCTAGTATTTACTTTGTACCAGATACTAAAATATGATTTATTATACCTGATACCTATGTTATAGGTACTGTAATTATCCCACTTTACAGACAAGGAGGCCAAGGTTCAGAGAGGTTAAGTAACTTGCTCAAGGTCACACAGCTGGGAGGTGGCAAAGCCAAGGGTCTGATTGTACAGTGCTTCCCCTCAACCACTGGGCTATCCTGCCTCTTATATAATTTATATGTATTCTTCACATAGTAGAAGCTGGCCACTTTTGATGCATTGAATTTACAGTTTATATTCTGGGATAAATCAAATAGATAAGTATATTGTTCAGTTTTAAAACTGCCCTCATGTATGGAAAATTCTATAGTCTTGTATACTTGACCAGTTTCTGAGGAATTCCTAAGTGTTGAGTAACATGTAAAATGCTTCATGAGTGATCTCCTTGAATCCTCTCAGCACAGAATCCTCTGAGGGAGGTATTCTTATACCCACTTTAGAGATGAGAAACCTGAGGCTTAGAAAGTCAAATGACTTGCTCCACATGACACAGCCAGGAAGTTGCAGAGTTTGTGACCCAGTTTGTGACACTGGCGGCCCCAGGAAACTAATACAAGTGTTTCCCAAGTGAGCCTGTGGCTTCAACCCTCTTATTTGGTTTCACCATCAACAGGGTCAGCGGCCCCTTCCCCACCCCAAGAGGAGCAGCCTGCTCCCCCCACGGCACTGACCTTCGTCGTAGAGTTGAACGGTGTGGGTGGAAAGGATCACTGGCACCCCGTTTTGACCACACTCCCTCCCAGAAGCCACCTGGAACAGAACAGGTGACATTAGGAGTCGAGGCTTCTGGGAAAATCAGAAGAACTCAAGGCCACAAGGGTGCCTCATAAATTAAACTTAATTTCAAGGATGCACTTCTGGAAACTACCACGCTTTCTATCCTGCCTCAGAGAAATTAAATCACCCACTTCCAGGGCTGGATCTGTGCCTCGTCTGGATGAGCCTCACAAGCACAGTCAGTTAGGACCCCATCCTACAGACGGGGCTCCCAGGCTGAACGGGGGTGCTTGTCTAACAGTGGGGAACAGGAATTCAACACGCTGATTCCGAAACCTGTGAGGTTAACCTCACTCACTGTCCTGCACACGCGAGCCCCGTCCTCAGCCGGGCTGTCAGTCAACAAACGCGTCAAATCCAGGAAGTTCGTGGTTGCTTTTCTCTGCTCCACGCCCACTCGCTCATCTTCATTGTTGCAACCTCTTTCCAGTTTTAGGCCACTGCTCTGATTTTTTTTTTCTCTTCTGTTGTTTATTACAGATATTAAATAAGATTATATATATGTATGTATATATATGTACACATATATGCACATGGAACTATACACACATACACATACACTCAGATGGAAAGAAAAAAGTTGCAAAAGAGAATGTACGTTATATCATTTTTGTAATGAAATAATCTAAATTGACCACTAATAGTTGACATTGACGGAAAACTGATTATATGCTAAGTACGTTGCACATCATGTCTTACTCTGCTAACACTATCAGTAGTGCAATATATGTTAATAAGTGCAGAGAGAAAAACACTAAAAGACTAAATAGCACCCTCCTAAAGAGGGGATCCTCTCCAGGGGGATATGGAAGACTTTTCCTTTCTTTATATTGTTGTAATGGTTTTAATTGTTTAAAATAAGCCTGTGTTCTGAATTTTTATCATTAACCCTACCAAGAAATCGCAAATCTAAACATCAAACCCGCGTAAGCATTTGGCCCTGAGGTCGCAATTGGCACCGCTGGGCAATACCAGGTGTGCAGATTTGATTTATTTGGCTCACAGAGTTTAAGTATTTTGGAATTAGTTGGCAATATTTAAAAATCAGGAGATTTTACTAAAACTGTTCACCAACTTCTAATGAAAAATAAGGCTCTGGGAACATCTGGGGGGGTGTGTGTCGTCCAGGGCCTGCAGCCTCTGACCCGGCCCCGCCCTCCTACTTAGCTCTTTGTTGTGACTGCCTGGCCCCTGGAGGCCAGAGGCTCCCAGATTTGGAATCATTTGGGAGTTTGAGAAACTACTGCTCCCTGGGCCCACACCCAGAGGTTGCATTTGAGTTGGTCTCAGGTGGGGCTGGGCCTCAGGAGTTTGAAAAACTTCCCAGGTAATTCTCAGATGGAGTGAGGTTTGACACCCACTATGAGTTTTCAGCCCATTTCTTCAAATCCAGCCTTCTCTTCTGAGCAGGAATTCCCTCTATGATATGCTCAATCTTAGTTCATAGGTATTATCATCCTCCTACAGGGATTTCCTTGTTTAACTGAGCTCCGCAGTTTAAGCGGAACGGATTTCAGAGGCACTGACGGTGGGGGATGTTTACGCTCTCTGCTGCCTGGTCCTAGAAGATCCTAAGAGAAGCATTTGGGCGTCCCTGGCCTCAGCCTTCCAGGCAGTCTTCTAAAAGAGGGATGTCTAAACTAGTAGTTCTCTGCCTCGGCTGCACAGGCAACAGCTGAGGAGCTTGGAAAATGTGGATGCCCGCCCTCACTCCCACACACAGATTCTTATTTAATTGGTCTATGGTACGACTCCTGCATTGTAGTTTTTTGAAAGTTTCCCAGATGCGTCTAATGTGCAGCCAAGGCTGTGAATTACTGATCTAAACCTGGGTTTCTCATCCTTGGCACTACTGCCATTTTGGGCCAGCTCATTGTTGTGGGGGCTGTTCTGTGCATAGTAGGATGTTTAGCAGCATCCCTGGCTCTACCCGCTAGACCAGTAGCACTACCTGAGTTGTGACAACCAAAAACATCTCGGGACATTGCCAAGTGTCCCCTGATGGGGGTCCGAATCCACCTGGGAGTGGGTACCAAATTGGCCCTATGGGAATCAGTCCCCTTGGAGGTCCTTAAAGACACAGGTTTCATAGGCTCCCAGCCCTGCAATTTCTGATTCAGTAAGTCTCAGGTGGGGCCTTAGAACCTGCATTTTTAACAGTCTCCTTGGTGGATCCTAGAGGTTTGAATACAACTGAACAACCCATGGGAACAGCAACGCGTCATCAATCACGTCTGTGTGGTGAGCACCGAGCAGGCCGTGTATTCTGCTCTCATCCCCGGCTCTTCCTACTAGTAGCTGATGACCCAGTGACCGTCACTATACTACCTTGTAAGTGTCTGTTTCCATTTCATTCTCTTGGTCTTCAGTTCTTTGTGGAACACTCATTTGGTTACCCATTGTCCCTGCGATAGAGAAAAAAAGAGAGAGAAAAATTAAAAACCCAAATTAACTGCTTATATTTATTTTGGGGAATGAGAGGAGATTTTGGACTCATATTCAACAGAATTAAAGTCAATGCAGCCCCAATTTGCAACTGCATTTCCTTGTTGGGGGAATATTTGCCATCATGAAAAGTGTATTCAGCATAGATAATATTTTCTTCCCTCTTAGCCAGTCACAGCTATTATATCAAGAAGATTCTAGAATGAGGATAATTAAAACAATACTTACAATTTTTAGTATTCTCTGATCCTCAAACTAAATTAGGTCCCCTGTTAAACCTCTCATTGGACTGGCATTTTTTTTTCATAGCACTTAGCACTATTTGTAATTATATATTATTTGGCTATATTTTCATTCATTGATCGATCCAACAAATATATATTGAGCGCCAACTCTGCACTTTACACTGTGCCAGACACTAGGGTTACAGCTGTGAATTAAACAGATGAAGCCCCTTGAACTCATGGAGCTAAAATCTGGTGGGTGGACAGACAATAAACAAATAGGCAGTAAATCCATAAACTAGGCCATTTCTGATAGTTCAAGGCAGCATAGTGCAGTGGTTATGAGCACAGAGCCCGGAGTAAGACAACCTGGGCGTGAATCCTTTCTCTACCCCTCATTGCTGTGTGTCTTTGGATGAGTTAATTAGCCTCTCTGTGCCTCACAGGACTACTACTAGGACTCGATAAATTGTAAGCACCACAAGGGCAGGTACTGTCTGTCTTTACCCATCATGGTATCTCCCGTTCTCAGCACTGCATCTGCATTCATCAGGTGTGAAATTATTGCTTATTGGTTGGATAGAGGGAGTGATCATTGATAACGACCCCTCACCTGGCTGGCACTGAGCAAGGTATGCGCCCACATCGTCAGGAAAACTCTCAAGAGCCTTGTTATCATCATAGTGACAATACTTGACAGTGATTTCACACGTTCTCAGTCCCAAGTGCTGTTCTCCAAGTGCGTTTCCTGTGTGGTCTCCTTTATCCCCGCAGCACCCTTGTGAATAGGTGTTATCATCACCTCATTCTAGACATGAGGACGCCGAGTCACAAGGAGGTTAAACTACTTTCCAAAGGTCACCCAGTAAATGACAGAGAGGCAAGATCCAAACCGAGGCTGCCTGTGCTCCTATCCACTGGAATGTTCCCTATATTGTTCCCTCCCCTTGGAAAGGGGGGACCTGAGTCTCCCTAGCTCACCCAGGACACACATCCCAAAAATGGCCAAGTGAGGATTTGACCCAGAGTCCGTCTGGTTTCAGAAGTGGGGCTCTTTCAGCCACTCCCAAGACCTACTGCCTCGCTACTGAAGTTTCTTTTTCACACAAAGGATTCCAATGTAGCCTGTCCCCAGAGACCTGGCTGCTGGCTCCTCTACTCCTGTGGCTTTCAGAAGAAAAGCCAGGACTTCTGATTTCTGGCGAGAGGCAGCTGATGCATCTCCAAGGATTCCCTGGGCCTCTGGCTCACGCTATGAGTTTTTATGCCCTGCTAATAGACTCAATGAGTAATCAGAAATTACAGAGGCCAAAAATGGGTCACAGATCTCACCACCTGCTCTCTTGGGGGAATTTGATAGATAACAGGATCTGGGGATTTTCCATCTTTTCTAATCACACCATGTAATAAAATTGAGCAGTGCTAAAACATACAGGACACTTGTCATTTTGCAACATTTTCTATTTATGAAATCCATGATATGCATACCTACAATAGACCATCACTTCCATCTATAAATGGGACATTATGAATATAGTATTGAATCCTCAAGACCAGGATGGGCAAACAGCAGCTGTGGGCGAAATCCAGCATGCTGCCTGTTTTAGTAAAGCCAGGGAGCTAAGAATGGGGTTTACATTTGTAAGTGGTCGGGAAAAATAATCAGAAGAATGGATTTTGACACATGAAAATAATATGAAATTCAAATTTTTTTTGAGGGGGGCGGTGAGGAAGAATGGCCCTGAGCCAACGCCTATTGCCAATCTTCCTCTTTTTGCTTGAGGAAGATTAGCCTTGAGCTAACATCTGTGCCCGTCTTCCTCTATTTTGTACGTGGGACGCCACCACAGCATGGCTTGACGAACAGTGTGTATGTCTGTGCCTGGGATACGAACATGTGAACCCCAGGCCGCCGAAGGAGAGCACGTGAACTTAACCACTACTCCACCAGGCTGGCCCCAGTGAAATTCAAATTTTGGTATCCATAAATAAAATTGTATTCATGGCAGCCACACCCATTTGTTTACATATTTTCTACATGTGGTTGCTTTTATGCTACAAAGGCAGAGTTGAGTAATTGCACCAGAGGCCATATGGCCCACAAAGCCTAAGACAAATACTATCTGGCTCTTCCCAGAAAGTTTACTACCGCCGTTCAAGATCACCCTGGGTAAGTTTTACTCATTTTGCAAATAAGGGGATTGAGGGAGCTGATAGATTGTGTTGCCCGTAGTAAGGCTGACCAGGATTTGAACCTCTTGTGTATAAAAACAACAACTCTAACAACCATAGTAACGATAAAATAGTAATAATAATAATACAAATTTGGTGAGTGCTTACCATGTGTTGAGAAACTGTTCTAAGAGCTTGTAGGAAACTAATTTACTCCTTGCAGCAAACCCACAAGGCAGTAGTATCATCATTCCAATTTTACAGATGGGAAAACTGAGGTTCATAGGTTAAATGCCTTCATCAAGGCCACACACAAAAGTATATATATACACTGGACTAGGTCTCCATCTAAATCCAGTTTTTTACAAAATTAAAAATTATTTACCAATGGGTTTACAAATTTTTAAAGCTCCTACTGTTCAATTTAAATTCAGTCCAATTTGGGGGCTCCTTGCAATAAAAATGTTTGAGGTTATGAAAAATCTTTGGGCTGGGAGAACCGTGACGTGTGCCGGTAGGAGAGAAACTTTTTCATCCCACAGAATTGGGGTTACGTTATCCTGATCGTCACACATTTTAAGGAGCCTTTTGGCAAATTCAGGGCCAAGTGGACTGAAAGAAGGAAAATCCATTCGCACGTCTTTAGCAGCGACGACCTGGATTCAGATCGTATTGTTTTCCACCAGCTGTTAGAACGTGTGTGTCGTGAAATTGCTCCCGCTCTTCAAATTTTGGGAAGAGCGGGATTTCTACGGGACAAAAACAAAAGGTGACTGCCACCTATTGGCTGACATGAGTATCAGCAGAAAGGGATAGAGTCAGCCTACTGGGCTGGGGCAAAACGTCTGGGGAGGGCAAGGGGAAGGCTTTTACATTTAGCTATGAGGCCTTCTGTTAAAAGTTGGCAACAGAAGGGCAAGTCTTTTAATGCCCGAAAGATAGTGCAACTAAGAAAACAATCGTGATAATCACATCTGCTGTGTGTGGAGCGCTCGCCACGTGCCAGCCCGCGGCCGAGCACTCCAGATAGAGAGCGGTGCAGCACAGGGAATAAGAAGGTGGGTTCTCGAGTTTGGAGTCCCTGCTCGGCCATGTACTGAAGGAGTGACCTAGGCAAGCTACTGAGCCTCGGGCCTCAGTTTCCTCTTCTGTAAAATGGGCATAATAACAGCACTCACCTTAAGAGGTTGTTGTGAGCATTAGATAAATTAAGATACACAAGGTGCCCTGAAGAGGGCCTGGCCCACGATAACTACCATGCGAGTGTCAGCCGTGATTAGGATTATCATCATTATTATCATCATTGATATTTTCATTCATTTTCCCCCAAAGTTGCCTGATAGGGAGAATCAACTGAGGAACCTGGCAGCACTTTTGATTCATAGGATCCTGTCACCAAAAAGTCAGGTAGGGGCCCTGGATCTGTATTTTTAGCAAGTGCACAGGTAATCCTCATCATCAGGCACATATGGGAAATACCATGATGGGGACCACCTGTCCAGGTTGCACAGATGGGAGTAAGGGTGTTCCGGAATGCGGGACTTTTCTGTTAAAACCAGCAAACTCCTGGGCAAACCAGGATGAGTGGATCACCCTAGAAGCCGGCTCAAGGACTCTGTGAGGCAAGGACTCTTTATCCCCATTTAACAGACAGCAAAACTGAGGCTCAAGGAGGTTCAGACAATAATTCCTGTCGGCGATATTTTCTCCAGTCTCTGACAAATGAGAAAACTAAATCAGATAAGGAGTTTTTCATCCAGAAAAACATCTTCATTTGAGATAGCTAGCTTTTATTTTGAAAAAAACCGAAGTTTGAAGGTGATGTCAAAATGCCCTTTCTTTCGTGAACTGATGGTGTTAGTTGTTTTGTTTTTATGACCTTCTTTGACATTAAGCACAAGCTGCCATCTGGCAGGGGGTTTTGTTTTCAAAATTAGACTCGTGTGTGAGGCCTTAGCATTTTGAGAAGGTGGGGTGAGCCTTTTGCTGGGGGTTGCTCAGATGAGAAAGTCCCTCTACTTCTCCACGTCCCGGCTGTGCTCCGGAGACCGGTCCTCAACCTGGGCTGCACGTTAGAATCATCCGTGCAGATTTAAATCCCTGAGCCCAGGCCCCAGCCAGACCCATTCCATCAGACTCTCCGGGGTGGGGCCTGGCATCGGTATGTTTTCAAGATCTCTAGGTGATTTCCATGCCAGCCGAGGCCGAGAGCCGCTGTGTGGGATATTTCGGGGTGAGCGAGCGTCCCCTGGGACAGTGATCTTTCTCAAATGCTGCCTCCCCTGACTCAGAGAACCAGGCTCAGAATTCTCAGATGGGGGAAAGGACTCAGCCTTCAGGGCAGACAAATTACCGGCAGCCCGGGCATCTGAAAATGTTCACAACCCTTCCAGGGCGTGCCCTTGTGGGCCCTCTGTTCTGTCAGCCTGCAAATCAAGAGAAACCTCCTGGGTCTCCAGCTTTCCTTCCCCGAGAATGGGCGTGCAGGGCACGCTCGCTCCTGCACAGCCTCCCTTTCCCCTTGGCTGTTAAGTCAGCAGGTCTGCCCCACGGGAGGAGGGCGGAGGGGCTACCAGAGTGAGGAGCAATCAGTCTCTCCTCTTGTCTGGGCACCCCCTCTCTCTCCCCGAGAAAAAGAGCTCTGGAGGGAGACGGGCCCCCACAAATCCCACGACGGTGAGGCTCTGGGCACGGCGCTGGGCCCTCTGAACGCATTTTTCTTGTGGAAAGTGGCAGTATTCACGATGATGACAATAATAACATGTCTGGAGTGTTTTCTATGTGCTGTGCACTACTGATTTGTGTGTGTCGACTTCACGTGGTCCTTTGCGACAATGCTTTGGGTTAGACACTATTATTTTCTCAATTTTCTGATGAGAAACTGCGGCACGGAGAGGTTGTGGCCCTTACCCACAGTCCTCATCCATCCCAGTGTCATGGGGGAGGGGATGGGGTAGACACGTGCTGGCACCGAGCGGGTGCCCACAAGTGGTAGTAAGATCTATGTCTGTATATATAATGTCTAGGGTGTTTGGTCCCAGTTATTCAGGACTATATATTTATATTTCATATTTTAGTTTTTGTCATATTCGTTGATGAGTTACATTATTATGTTGAAATGTTCTCTTTAGAAATATGTTCCACTCTGTTTTTCTGACTCACCATAACTTGAGAGCAGTGTTTCTCAAACTGAGGGTGATTTTGCCCCCCAAGGGACATTTGGAAATGTCTGGAGACATTGTTGATGGTCACGACTCAGGGTAGGGGGCTGCTACTGGCATCCAGCGAGCGGGTAGAGGCCAGAGACACTGCTCAACATCCTACAGTGCACAGGACAGCCCCACCACTGAGAGTGAGCTGGCCCCAAATGTCACTAGTGTGGGGGTTCAGGGACCCTGCTCTAGGGGTGGGACTTCTTGATTATCTCCTCACGTTTACAGTCCAGTGTCCCCTAGGGACCTACATTTCTGAAGAGCGGGTTAGAGAACTAGTCCATGGTGGTGCAACAGAGCAATCCTTCCCGCCTGGGTTCATATGCTGGCTCAGAACGGCTGTGTGCATAAGCTTCAACTCCCCATCTGCACAGGTGAGGGGTAGACAAAGGACCATAATAGATCCATCCTCATCAGCGAAGATGTAAAGGGTGTGGTCCCTGCCATGTTTAGCCCACTGGCTGGTGCATAGCAGTTGAAGAATAAAGATTAGCTATTATTGTAAGTGGTAAATAAAATGTGTTGTACTTTGTTAATAATTATACCTAGTATTTCTGCAGAGCCTACTCTATGCCAGGCATTGCCCTAATGGCTTTCCTGTATTAACTCATCACATCCTCATAAGGACGTCATGAGGCAGGTACTTTTATTGTCCCCTTTTTGCAGATGCAGAACCCGAGCCTGGGAAGCTTAAGCTCATGCTATGAATTGAATTGCTTCCCCCTCCAAATTCACGTGTTGAAGCCCTAACCCCTGTATTTGGTGACAAGGCCTCGAAGGAAGTAACTAAAGTTTAGAGAAGTTATAAGGGTGGGGCCCTGATCCCATAGGATTAGTGCCCTTATAAGGAGACACGTGAGAACATGCTCTCTCTCTCTCTCCACCATATGCGGATGGAAGCAGACTGTGAGCCAGGAAGAGAGCTCTAACCAGAAACAGAATCGGCCAGGACCTAGATCTTGAACTTCCCAGCCTCCAGAACTCTGAGAAAATAAATATCTGTTGTTTAAGCCACCCCAGTCGATGGTATTTTTGGTATGGCAGCTCGAGCTGATTAGTGCAGATCATCTGCTAGTGAGTGGGAGAATCACGACTTAACTCTTGGCAGCCTGGTGCCAGAGTTCAACTCTTAAGTTTCTCCTTCCTTACCTTCTACTGTCTCCTCTGCCATAGAAGTTATGCTATATTTTGTTAAATATTTGTATGTCATGTAATGCAACATAGAATGTAAAATATTTATTGCGTATCTGCCTTTGCAATAAGAAATTAAAATTATAGCTAGTCAAGGAACGTGGTCTGAACTAAAGTGAGGAAGGCAAAATTGAAGAGTAATTGATAATTTTTGTAGAGATTTAGCACAAGGGCTTGGCAGTAGTCAGGTGAGAAAATGTGCGTTCTTACTAAACTATTTATTTTTCTTGTCACTGTTATGATCCCAGTGGCTCTGTGTGCCGGTCCCCGAGTGAGTTGGCTGCTCTAGAAGTTCTCCTCGAATTCTTCCTCTTTTACATCAATGACTGGTGTTCATGTTGCCTCATTTTAGTTACAGGTTAACAGTAAGCCCTCCTCCTGATCAAACACCACTCACGATGCAAGCTGCCTGGAGAAAGCATTTCTGCGGCTGCCTGGCCAGCAGGCAACTAAATGACTGTCAGATGGAAAGGGGAGGTCTCGAAGGGTGGAATGGTGACGGAATTAGTCACTGAGTAAACAGAAACACCTTTGATCAATGCAATGGAATGTACGCAAACTGCGGGCCCTGCTCACCACCCAGTTGAGGACAATGCCAACATGGCCAGGCTGGCACACCCAGCAGAACATGCCCTCTGCCCCCCAGCTCCAAAGCCAAGGTCAATACCTATAAAGAGAACAGACCTGCTCTGCCGTGTCCCACGGTCCTGCATCTCCCGGAGTTCGCCGGCACAGGGCTGGGAACATGGCAGATACTATGAGGGCCGCCATGGGCAGTGGTGCAGGTTGCCTCCTGCACGAGGGGCACATGAGGACTGAAATCTGTCCTTCACTGTGCTCCCCAAGCCCTGCCCCCTGTGTGGACTGTGTGGGTCCAGCGGAAGGGGTGCCTTTATCCAAATCACGCTGGGTGTTTTAAGAATGGTTGGTAATTGATGTCTTGCTGTTGGAACACTCAGTTGTGTTTGTATAAATGGTCGATGTTCCTAGAAGGCTTGGAGCTCACTCTCGTATTCTTAGCGTTACACCAAACACCCTTAAGATGATAACGATAGCAGCAACATTAACTCAAGACTTACTGTGAGCCAGGCAGGGCCAGGACTAGGGTAAAGCCCGAGAGGCACCAGGTGCCAAATGCAAGGAGCCATCCTGCTCAGGGTTGCAGGTGCAGACTCAGGAACTGAGAGTGAGCGCCTCCCTGCATTTTGCCCCCAGGTGCCTCGCTTGCTTCACCCTAGGCCTGGCCTGGGCAGGCACTCGACTTGCGTTGCTTTCGTTTTTCCCTTTCAGCAGGCCATTACACAGATAAAGAAACTGAGGCTTGGTGATGCAATCCCCTCACCCCTAGAATGTAATTCCCTGAGGACAGGCACTTTCTGGTGCTGCGTGCACACAGTGAGTTCTCAGTTCACATCTGTTGATGAAATGGATAAAGCAGAGTAACCGTCCCCGGCTCAGAAGGCTATGAAGAGGCAGAGCTAGGGTTTGAACCTGGGTCCACAGGACTGAGGGGCTCAAATCCTTCCCCGCTCCCTGGCCCAGCTCTGGGCAGCAAGAGAACCTGCCGACACTGAGACAATCAACAAATGTTGAACACCGAGGCTGCATGGAGTGCTGTGTTGACCCTCCCTAGTTCTTTTCCGTCCCTCTCCCTGTGCATCTCTTGTCATCGAAACCAGCCAGGGTGGGCTCTTACAGGCCCATTGCTCTCCTGAAACATGTGCCTTTTTTCTAAAAAGACAACCCTTCCAGAGTTTCAGAACTCTTTGGAAGAAAGTATCCTCTGTGATTCGAAGCATTGGCTTGTTCCCCCCACCTCCCTTAAATTGGAAACTGCTTTAGGTGCCCCCTCTCTGGGCATTTGTTTAGGGAGAAAGCACAATATATACACCCCAGGACTCGAACACGCAATCATAGCAGAGCCTGGCCCAGATGAGGGGGCGGGGACTCCGGGGCAAAATTTAAGGAGGATCCAGAAAAGTCAGCCGTCAAGGTGAATAATATATTTTAACACAACATTTATAAAACCAAAATGAATGCTGTTACGAATCCTGTCTTTGCTTAACATGTTATTTGGTTCATCGTGGATGTATTGGCATTGCTTTAAAATTTTTAAAATATTGCCTCAAGATATAATTTATCTCGATGACTGAGTTTTTGGTGTCTCAAATTCTGTGCCCAAGTCGAGTACCTCACTCATCTCATTCAAGTCCCGGCTGTGACTGGATCCAGGACCACAGCTTCCTTTCAGTGAAGCCTGCTCAGAGTCCTGCCCCCTCCTCCCAGCCTCATCTTCCTGCTTGTAAAATGTAGTTAGTGACAACAACAAAAATAACAGCTAATATTTATTAAGGGCACAGGTGTGCACATGTATTTGTCCCCTCAGCCCACATGGACATCACTTCAGTCTCAGTGCTATTATTACACCCATTTTACAGATGAGGAACTTGAAGCCCAGAGGAGTGAGGTAACCTGGCCCAGGGCACCCCGCCTGCCCGTGGTGGGGCTGAGACTGGCTCCAGGCACCCAGCCTCTAATCACTGTGACAATTCAGGGCAGGAAGTGGAGTTGCAGAGGGCAATGCAAATTTCTGGAGTTGTGGAGCTAGGATCTGAACCCAGCACCTATCTCAAAGAATAGTTTTGAATGTAAATAAGACAATTGATGTAAAGAGTCAGATTCCCAAGGGCACTCACGGAGTCCTGCTCCCTGTCTCCTCCACTCCCTTAGACGATGCCCCTCGGTGCAGATTCAAAATCGGCTTTACTGTGGGGGATTCTTGTCCTGAGAGGGGTACCCAAATCGCATAGCATACCCATCCATCCGCTACCTTTTCCCCAAGTTTTGCACTTGAAATGATCCCCAAAGGTTCCATGCAAATAGGGATTATTTCTGTTACTTTGTACCTGACACTGCACGTTGTCATTTAATCCTTGTACAACCCTTTTAAACAAGGCTATCTTTGGGTCCATTTCACAGATGGTGAAACTGAGGCTCACACACACCCAAGGCCATACAGTGAATCAGTATCAGAGCTGGGGTCAAACTCAACCCTCTCTGACCCCTAGTTGCTGCATTTCACTGCCTGCTGCAAACAACAAACCCTCACGCCAGGCCTAAAGGATCTGGAAGCGGTTACCTGTTGAGCCCCTGGTGGGAGTGTCTTCAGTCCCCTGGTGTCCCCTGAGCTGCTCCTGCTCAGGGTGCCGTGTCTCCAGCTGGCGCTGCCAGTACCAGGCTGTCAACTGTGCCCGGCTCCCTGCCCTTCGCTTCCTCGTCCGGAGCCAGCTGGCTGAATACACAGAGCAGGGCAAACACAGCTGGGGTGGGGCCCTCCTCTCCCCTGCCCGGCCTCCAGAAGCAGGTTCTCTTCCTGGATTCAGGGGCTGTCCTCACCTCTCCAATAAAAACCCAACACCTGGTTTCTCTCGCGCTATTGCCTCCCTGGCACTCCAAGCATCCCGTCAGGTGCCCCTCACCCACTGCGGCCGCCCCGGTGGACCTGGGGAGCTAATTACCTTCCCCAGTAACCGTGGGTGATGGTCAGAGCAGGGAAAACACGTTCTGTAGGATTCTGCAGCTCTGTCTGCCTTTCACCGTCATTCTGTCCAGAACACCACCTCCACCACCCCCTAGCCACCTAATTGGAAAGAAATAGCGTCTCGCCCACTGCACCACCCCCAGTCGCGTAAACATCACTCCCCAAGGGCTTTGGCCACCCGAAAGCAGGTAACCTAAGGGCGGCCTATTGCTGTGGAGACTGAGCATGACATTGGAAAGGGCATTCTTTTTCTCTCCAGGCTAGAAATTCGAGACAGGCTGTTTATTTAATTTCAGCAAGGATATTTATTAAAGTGTCTCACAAGGACATATGCAATACAGTAGGAGAGCATAAATTAAAAATTACAAAAGAAGATAGCAAAACAAGAGTGGGTACGTCCATGGGACCAGGATCATCCATAAATGTGCATGTTGATTTACAGACTTGTAGGAAGGCTTCACAGATGTGGCTTTGAGCTTCCCAATAACCAATGCAAAAAGGGAAACATGCTAAGTTATACTATTCAGTGTTCTTGAGAAAACATTCAGGAGAAATGCAAAGTAGTAATTACTGTGGCTTTATTCATTAATATGTTCACCCAAGCACCCACCATGACTACTTGTTGAGCACCAGGCTATATATAGGCCTGGGTTTAGAGAGGTGAGGAAAAGACTCTGTTCCTCCCCTCCCTGGGCTCATTGTAATTGAACACAGAGTCCTACAAATAAACACAGAATCACAGAGCGTGAGCCTCATTATGAAACAAAAGCCAAGGCAGCTAAGAGAGAGAAACAGGGAGAGCCAGGGAAGGCCCCTTTCAGAAAGCAACATTTAAGGGACAAAAATACTATTTAAATACTGAATTCACAATCAGATGCATCATAATTAGGGCTATAAACTCGATTCCTGCTCAGCACTGTACATTTAAATCTGGACTGTAATGAAACTCAATTATTAAGCAGCTGTCTTGCACACACACTGTGCCAACGTAAGCACAGAGGCAGGCCAGCCTGGAGGCTCAGGAGCTGGGGCTGTGGCCCTGCGTTCAGATCTCAATTCTCACAGACCAGCTGTGTGTCTGTGAGCCGGCCGCTTTCCTCCCTGTCTCTGCCGGCCTTCCTTGGCTGAGTGCCCTTGTGTTTATTTTGTGCTTGTTTTTATATCCCTGACTGCTAGCAGCCTGCAATATGAGACGGCTGTGTCCCTGCCGTAGAGAAGGCGGTTGACAAACACTTCCTGATTGGACTGGCTCCCTCTTAATTATTTGTGACAATGACTGCCATGTGGATGGCATTTAACTCTTTGCCTCTATCCATCTCAGTGACGACCACACTGTAATTAGGATTTTTGCACCCATTTTACAGAAGAAGAATATGAGGTTTAGGGAGATCTGTGACTTAGTGCATAAAGGAGCATCACCCAGGTAGGGCGCTTAGCAGCGTGTGGGGCATATTGCAGACTCCCATCAAGTGTGGCCTGAGTCAGCAGTAGTAGAGGAAGCAGGGTCGGCCACGTGATTTCAGGACCCACGGCAAAAGGAAAGTGCGCAGCCCTTGTTCTAAAAGTGGGGACAAGGACTGGCAAAGAGACTAAAATATGATGCTTTTCCTTTCACCCATGGTCTCTCTCTCTCTACCTGTCTTGTATTTTATTTGCTATTCAAAGTCATTCTAAGTAAATAAAAATTGAAATTTTAAATTATTAACGTGAATTTTACCATTCATCCTTATATTGTGTGATACCGGTTTTAAATGCAACGGACTCATGTGCAGAATCCCCCAAATCACACAACTCTGTGTATTTTGTTCTACTAAAACAGAGGAAACGCTGCACGGAACGGACTCACCTGTTTTCCTCTCACTTCTAGATCCTCACCGATATTCTACCACACTCTCTACCTCCAGTTTATTGGTGAGTCAGGAGGGGTTGAAAGGAAAAGAAACTGCCCTATGTTTCCCTTTCTCTGTCATCATTCTCAGCACATTGGTTATCACAGGGAGGTAACGTGAGGAAGAGAACACGATGCGGTTCTTCTGTTGTCCATGTTTCTACAATGTGTTGCCTTCTTTCCGCGTTTGAGATGATTTCTGATTTGAATGGAAAGCGCGGCCCTTCAGGGCTGTCAGGGCCCCTACAAACTCAGTTGCAGGTGTAACACCTTACTTTATACTCACCTGGAGGCCTGCTGACCATCCACCCATCGTGAATCGCCTGGAAGTGTCTGCCCGTGGGGTGTCATGAATGCCTTCTGTGAACGGGACGGTGATGAGCAGTGGACACGTGTATTGCACATATGTCCTCTGCTCACGCACATGCCTCATTGTCCCATCAGATTTTTTTCTTTCAAAGATTTTCTCTTTTTAGAGTCATCTTAGGTTCATAGCAAAATTGAGAGGAACGTATGGAGATTCCCCAATACTACCTGCTCCCACACATGCACAGCCTCCCTCATGAGCATCATCCCCCAGCAGATGGTACATTTGTTACATCAGTGAACCTACATCGACACATCACAATCACTCAAAGTCCCTAGTTTACATTAGTGCTCACTCTTGGTGTTGTACCTTTTATGGGTTTAGACCAGTGTATAGTGACACATATCCATCATTACAGCATCATAGAGAATAGTCTCACTGCCCTAAAGGTGCTCTGTGCTCCCCCTGTTCATCCCTCCCTCCCTACTAACCTCTGGCAACCACTGATCTTTTCACTGTCTCCATAGTTTTGCCTTGTCCAAAATGTCATCTAGTTGGGATCATACAGTATGTAGCCTTTTCAGATGGGATTCTTTCACTTAGTAATATGCATTTAAGGTTCCTCCATGTCTTTTTGTGGCTTGATAGATCATTTCTTTTTAGCACTGAATAATATTTCATTGTCTGGATGGACCAGTTTCTTAATCCATTCACCTACTGAAGGACATCTTGGTTGCTTCCAAGTTTTGGCAATTGTGAATAAAGCTGCTATAAACATCCGTGTGTAGGTGTTTGTGTGGACAAAAGTTTCAACTCCTTTGGGTAAATAGCAAGAAGCATGACTGCTGTGTCGTACGGTGAGAGTATGTTTAGTTTTATAAGAAACAGCCAAACTGTCTTCCAAAGTGGCTGCACCATTTTGCATTCCCCCAGCAGGGAATGAGAGTTCTTGTCGCTCCACATCCTCACCAGCATTTGGTGGTGTTAGTGTTCTGGGTTTGGCCATTCTAATAGGTTGTCCCCTCAGATTTTACTTCCACAACACAAATTCAAAGATAAAATTATTATGAAGTTCAAGACAGTGACCGCAGAGCGTTAAGCCAGGGCCCTGGCTGTGGCGGCAGTGCGTTCTCAGGCGTGTGAGCTTCTTGGTAGAAGGGTTTTCTTCCTAGTGCCCACAGGGCAGGAGTTCACTAAGAACAGAGTTTCTCTCGGCCATATGTATTTTAGGTTGTGTTCATCGTCACATCTCCTGACTTGGATGGCCTCTTAATCTTCTGGCTTTACGATCTCCACCCCTCTTCAAATATTGACGAACTTGTGAAGTCCTCAGCTCCTGTTATCAGCTGTGTTCCTGGAGCCTGGGCTGGAGCTGGTCGCTGTGCCGAGAAGAGTCCTTGGAAACCTGAAATCTGGTCTCTCCCGCAGCCCTTTCCGGGCCTCCCCCACCCATCCTTGCATGCCCTCCGTCCTCCTGCATGCAGGCGACTCACTCTGAGCCAATGTCGGCCGTGTTTTTGATCATTGAGCCAGAGGGGGGCATGACTCAGACGTTACAGTGTGGTCATGCACGTCCACCTGCTTCGGCTGAGACAGTAAATCTAGTATGCACCTTTGTCTTTTTGTGTCCACTCATGTCTTGGCGTTTTTCAGATCACTTGCTTGTACATTATCCCATGTACTCCTTATGATAATGCTGTGACATAACAAATATCTGTTTGGGTAAGGAGGAAACAGAGGCTCAGAGAAGACAGATGTCTTTCCCCAAATCAAATCGTGGGCAGATGTTGGATTCAGTCTCTCAAGGCTAAACTCAGGGCCCAGGCTTGGTTAGGAACCAGGCTCTGGAGTCACGCAATCTGAAAAAGAATCCTGGCTTCAGCAGCTGATTAGCTAGGTGCCCTTGGGCAAGTGCCTTGCCCTTTCTGTGCTTCAGTTTTATCATCTGTAAAATGGGGATATTAGCAGCACCCAAGTCACAGAGTTGCTGTGGGAATTAAATGAGATAATTCACAGAAATCACTTAGCACGGTACTTGGCACGTAGTATGCTTAGTAAAATGACAAAGCTCCTAAGGTATAGGGTTGGGATTTAAACACATACCATCTGACTTCAGGACCTGCACTCTCAACAGCTAAATTTTCAATCTGCATGTATATAATATATATATACACACACATAAATAAACAAAAACCCCAGATACATATAGTTAAAAGAGAAAGAAAAAACAGTGACAAACCCACATGTAACCTAGAAACCACACGCAGACTGCACTGAGTATTGATCACTTGACTATGCTTATCTGTTTGACATCTCTGATTCTTTGAGTCATATTTTCAATGTAAGCAATATTTTGGGAACTACACTGATGCCTTCTCATGCCCCAGGGAGACAGCCTAATCCTCTGACTCTCATTGGGATGTGAGAAGACTTGGCAAAGAACAGGCCGGGGAGCCCTGACTTCAGTTAGAGCACAGTTTCTTATTCACTTCAGTCCCTGCCCCAGAGAAGGAGTGGGGTTTACATGGCTGTCACCCGCAATGGCCACATCTGCCATTTCCCTTAATCCCAAACCATGCTTTCCATCATTTAGTGCTATTTGTGGGCCTCCAGGAGGGACTGACAATTAGCAGAGTGGTTCAGAGCGAGGCCTGGCATCAGACCCCAGTATGGGTTCTGGTTCACGCTTCCAGGCTGTGCGAAATCGACCACGTGCATCTCCTCACCTAAAATAGGAGCAGTAATGTCTACCCTGAGGGTT